AAGAGAACACTTTAAAAAAAAAAAAAAAAAAGCAGATGAGCATCAGTAGCTCTTTTTTATTTAATAATTTTAGATTTATTAATACAACATTTTGTAAAACATGTAAAAGTTACATTAAAATTAATAAATGAACAATATATTGAGATATATTTTAAATTCAGTCCACGCTCCAAGCTGAATTGATTATTTTGGACCAGTTACTTAAATCTGGGTAGAGTAGAAATGAATAAATATATTTAAAGCCAGAATCATTATTGGTCTATAAAAAATAACTTTTTAGCAGTTAAACTGATCTTAACCCCTTCATGACTGAGCTAGTTTTCAGGTTCTGTTCATAAATGGCTGACACATTTTTTACATTTTTGCTAGCTTTGGAACTGAAGGAGCCATAATCTGGATCGGCTGAGCCGAACCTCTGGCAGTTCACTCGCTTCCGCTCGCCCCTATTCTCATACAGTGAGTCAATAGCAGAATGCCAACAAGCATAAAAAATGTAAACAAAGGGGAAAAAATGATACAAAATCATTTTAAAAATGTAAAAAAAAAACAGTGTGGGGCCCCCCTCCCAAACCATACCAGAAAAGGGGGCATCGAGATGCTGCCCCACCTTTGTGAGTGATTAATGGGTACTTGTACACCTACTCATTCACTAAAGGGTTAAATGTAAATAAACACACCAGACGTTTGAAAAAAACCTTTAATTGAAAAAAGAACACAACAGAAATGTTTGACAATTCCTTTATTAATCAAAAAAACAATTTCCTAAAAATTGATCCAACTACGTAATCCAGGGGTCAATCCCGAAGTCCAGTGTTGTCCACAATGACGACTCATCGGGAAAAAAAACCTGACGCACGCCGACAACTCCAGCACACGACAAACTCCCTTCGCAGAATGAAGAATTTGACAGATGTCGGCAAAATATAAACAATTGGGCGGAGCTAGCGGTGACATCACCACTAGCTCCAAGCAACTGTTCATAGTTGGCCAGCACCTGCCAGAGTCTTCCCGCTTTCCCGCTAGGTCCCGGATAAATGAAAACAACTGGGCGGAGCTATCAAATAACCTGAGGACGCTGGTCTCTAGTTGAATAACAACTGGGCGGAGCCAGCCATGACATCACAACTGGCTCCGCCCAGTTAATGTCATTTGCGAGGAAAGCACTTGGCTCGATTGAGCCATTTGCCTGCCTTTGGGTGCTGTACGGGCTATTTTGAATAGCCTTTACAGCAGCCCTTCAGATTGACTGAACTGAAGGGCAGAGGCGGCCAAAGTGAGCCGAAGGATCAGCCAAAGCTGCGGCTAGATCCTTCGGCTCCTTAGTTAACCCCTTCGTGACTGACGACGTACAGTGTACGTCGCCAGCATCGGGGCTGTTTAAAATCTAAATCTTTTAAACATCAAGGAGCAGCATCCATTATAAGTGATTTATTTAGCATTTGAACATTTCGACTTTATTATCACTTTATGGAATAGCTTATTATGTTTTAATAGATTTTAATTTTTTGTGAACAGAACCCCCTTACCCTCAGGGAGACGGTAAGTACAGTATATTACCCTTGAATTATTCTGAATGTATGTTTATTAATTCAAATGTTGGTGCTAGAAGCACAAACACAGTGGTTAGCACCTGGCTTTTAGCATGGGATTTCAATAATCTTCTAATGTTTGCATTGGTTTTCCTCCTACCACAGAAAGTTTCATTCTTAAACTGGCTCTAAAGTGTGTGCATCCATGACTGTGGTATGAGTCAGGGACCAATGTAAGTCGTTCACTGTACTCTACAGATAAATAATTTAAAATCTAAAAAAAATTTTAAAAAATAATAATTTAAAATCTTCTGCACATACAGTATGTAAATGTAATTTAAAAAAAACAGGAGAAAGGGGTTATTAGTGCTTATTAGGCCTGGTTCACACCTAGGCGTAATGCATATGCGCGTCTGTCGCGCGTTTTTTTTACCGCGATTCGCGGTAAAAAAATGCGCGTTTCCGAGGGCTACTTGGCTGGAAACGCGCAACAAAAACGGCCCAAAGTAGTACATGTACCTTTTCAGGCGTGGGCCGTTTTGTAGCGCGTTAGGGACGGGCTGAAATAGGCCAAGGTGTGAACCAGACCCATTGAATACAATGGGATTTAGATGTTTGAGCGTTTTGTAGAGCGTTCGTCGAGCGTAGAACGCGCTACAAAACGTTCAGGTGTGAACGAGGCCTTAAACTTATATTAAGTATTCTTAATTTGAACTATGCATATCTGCCATATGACAAAAAAAGAAAAAAACTGTATCAGAAATAATAAAATAAACCTGTCATTACATTTAATTTGCTGCAGTCTATTATTATCTCTCTTTTTAAATGCTACCCAGTGGCATCAGGACAGCCAGCTGCTCCACATGAAACTGAAACCCTCTTATGTCAGAGGAATCTATAGAAAGGTGCCTGCTATGAACTGTGGGATGTAACACGTCACAGTTCCTAACTGTAGTTGAAGGTTGAGATATACCTATAAAAGATTTATATGCCCCTAGGGCACACAGCCAGAAAACAAGGAACAAAGCATTTCCCCTTTTAGGGGAATGCATATACATTTTATTTTTTTATTATGCTCAGAAATAAAAAACTAAAAAAAATAGTTATAAATGCTTTTTATTATTAAAATCAGGTAATCCTGTATTAAATATTACATATGCATATTTCATATTTACTTAATTACATATTTATTTGATAGTTAGGCAGTAGTTGGAGCTCTAGGCCCTTTTTCATGAATACTAGACTAACCTTGACTGTTTTGCTCAAAAACATTGTTTTTTGTACAGCTTAGTGTGGAGTTTCAATTATAAGAGACATTCACAAAAGAAGAAGCTACTTCTATGCTTTCCCAAGGATGCTCTGCAAAACCAGTGTCACATGTAAAGCCAGTATTAAATGTTTATTTCTAAAATAATGTAAAGGAAGAATAATGTGTGTGTGTGTGTGTGTGTGTGTGTGTGTGTGTGTATGTATATATATCTATATCTATATAGATATATATATATATATAATAATTTATAAAAATAAAATAAAATTCAAAAACCATTATAATTTTTCTTTAAAGCACTACATTTACTGCCAATTGCCATTCCTTTTCGAAAGAATTGAAAATACCAATTTACAAGTGGGAAAAATGTATTTAATAATTTATTGTTAACAAATATATACAAAATACTTATTTCAGAGATATCAAGGCTAGAAATAAAATCCTTCTTTGGTAAATGCAGCTAAGATAGTGTCTAGGTAATGTTAACAAGATGAAGAAAAGCTAAGACAGAGTGATCATTGTACTAAACATTAAAGAAACATATACCAAATAAATATAATAAAAAGCAGATATGTCACAGTGAACACATCACTGGAATTGTGCAAAGGGCATTTGTTTAGGTTAGCCCATAGTAATCAGACACAGACTGGTATTTAATTATCACTGAACCAAAATCTGATATTCTGAAATCTTAACTATGATTTCCTCTGTTGTGGGAAATCCGCACAATTCATCTACAAATGTAACTTTAGTGATGGTTGGTGAGCCAAATGACCAACTGTTTTCTAATCCATTGGTGACTTTAGAGTTCAGGTCTTCCACTGGAGTTCCTGTTTCTGTCAAGCTTAACAGTGAGTGTCATTCTCTACCACTACTTGTGCAATGTAAAACCATGTAGTGTCTATTAAAATATTTGCTAAACAATGACTGTTTTAGCTTATGAAATATAGTACAGATAAAAACATAAACATTATAGGATATATCTTTGAGAATTAATAGTTCAACTGAGGCTAAGGCTTTCCATTAACAATGTAAAAATGTACTCTGCTTCACTAACTAATATGTATTCATTGACTTATTTGATTTACCAAAGAGGTAGAGACTCTTCACTTTGTAAAGTGGATGTTTACTAGTGAATAACATGAAGCTGCAATCACTTTGAATACCCAGTCATGTGCTAGCACATGATTGATTGATTGATTGATTGATTAATTGATTTAATAAAATGAATACAACTCCACCTTATTCACTAAGCTCAGTGATCATTCAGTCTCTACTCTTTAAGTGAATGAATTCCACTAGATACCCCTAAAATTAGGCTGAAGCCATCAATCTTAATATAATTTAAAGTGAAGTGCCATATTACAAGAAAATAAAAGACCTGACTGTAGCTTGAAATAAAAATTTACTTATTATCAGTAAATACATTGCTTGTGCAGTGGTTATATCGGTTATACTATAGTTAAACATTAAAAATGATTAATTAAATATTAATAATTACTTATATAAGTAGGAGGATTGTCTTGGTTTTCCAAACTTGGCCACCATTTTTTAAAATGGGTGCTTTCCATGTATGTAAATTAAGTGCATTAACATTAATGAACCAGAAGCAAAAAATCCTACAAGCAACCCTTAAAAGAAGTATATTATAGGGCAAATGATAAACTTAGATGCCTTACACCATAGTGTACTTCCCATATATCCAAAATAAGATTGATTTTGCGCTGCATTTTAATTTGCTACTGTATTCTGATATAACCTTGTTATTAGTTGTTTGCAGTATGTACCTTTTGTGAGCACTACTACGGTATAAAATATTCAGTGCTGTGCAGTGACCATTGGGGACTGATCAGAGATCAGCATAGAGTAGGGTGACAGATGAAACTCAGTTTCTACTTGGTTACTATGGGGTACTGCAAACTAATGCTCTTTACATTATGGACTATTACATCATAAATAAACAGCCACCATATGCCCAGCTGTTGGTTGGTGCTATCAGTACCTTTTCAGCTGCACTTCATGACTACCAGCAGAGGTGTAAATTACTGCATTTCTGGAATAGCTGCTTGAATACATTCAGATGGTAGTATGTAACAATTTCATACTTTATACTTGACATGACAGTTCTCCACAAATGCTTAGCAGTTTGCAGGAATATGGAAGCTATTCATTGATGGCTTTCTTTTCATCTGACAAAACCCTGTGCAGATTCAGTAATCCACTTCTATGATACTAGAGTAAAAAAATTATATCATAAGTTATATCCGATTGAATTACCACCTTGTGAGAAGTCCATAGCCTTGCTTTACCAAACTGACATTTAACAGTTATATAAATATGACAGGTAGACTCACAGAAACACTCAAATATTCATTGTAGGCCAATAACATAATTCATTTCAGTCAGTGCTGTGGTGAAGGATCTAATGACCAACACTCTTGTGTGTCACTGCTTGTCCCTGGAGAAGGGTCGCTGCTCTGGTCTATTACTGTCCAATGTTTTATGTTTGCAAACTGAGGCTCTGGTTCAAAGACACCCCAAATATTGGATTGAGAGGTTGCTCCGGGTTTTGTTATTCCTTGATCGGCCAAGATGTTGATGAGAAAATTGATGTATCTCATAGCCAGCCTTAAAGTTTCATTCTTGCTTAGCTTCTTGTCGGGTGGATGGGTCGGAATTAGCTTTCTCAGTTCAGCAAATGCGCTATTAACATTTTGCTGTCTCCACCGCTCCCTTGTATTAAAGATCTTACGTGTCATTTTCACAATGGGTTGTCTGAAAGAGATTTTTTCATAGAATCACTTATAGCTTATAGTTCCAGTTAAATCAGTGTTACTTTACTCATATACTCAAGTGCTACTAGCATATCATTTCTTACAGATGTGCAATACATGTAATAGCACAGGTCCATTAAAAAGGTATGTACAGCTATCACAGATTATACAAGGTACCTCACATTTTCTGTTGAATTTAATTCATTTTACACTATTTAGAGTGTTGTACCCAGTGGCAGATCAAGGAAGTCTAAAACAAGCCAGAGATATAAAAAGCTAGTAACTGGTTGAGCCAGTGCCCAGTGCCCAGCCTTAGCTTTAATGTCCGTTTTGGGTGAACCCTTCAAGTAGTAACATTTTTAAATTTGATGCACTGCAATAATATTTCATCTAGTTGGACAAGTCCAAATCTCCGTTTCTTCGCCATTGTTTCATGTGAAGGTAAGAAATCTTCCCTGGCTACTTTATGCTGTCTAGTTTGACAGAAGCCATTGGGTACACTTGTAGTACATGATGTAGCCTGCACCTGCAATGCAGCACAGTCTCGCTGAAAACTGCATTTGTGCACCAAGCCATAAACCATCACTATTAAAGGACCAGTCCACACAAAACTAGTATTTCAGCTATGGAAGGATATTGTCGGACTGACTCAGACATCGGCTTGTTATATCTCCCAGTGATTCTATGGGCAAGGTATTGGCTCCTTGCCATAGAGAGCTGCATTCTATTTAATGTAACATACATTTAAAATAAATCCAAGCTTTTAAACAAATGAGAACAAGCTCTAATAGAAACACTCCAATAATAACATCTGTGATTCTGGTAAGAGATCTGCAAATCATCGTGTGTTTCAAGTCCCTACTGACTTTCAAAACATTTAACAAATATATCATTTTAGTTGTTTAAATTCTCATCTATTTATGCTAATAAAACTATAAATATGTTTCGAAAAACGTTTAGTATTTCATACCTTTGTATTGTGTCATAGCTAATAACACATTAACTTAAAACAAAAAAGAAGATGTCTTATTGGGACTTTTTGTTATCTTGTTTATTTTTTAACATACCTTTAATAGGTAACTGTAAGTAATTTGCTAAACCCTTTTATTTTGAATGAATATACCTGTATACTATACCAACGTTATACTAAGCAAAAATGTTTCTGCAGGGGCATATTTATAAAAGCAGTGAATGTGGAAGTCATGAAAATTCATGGGAGGTGAATCGATCACTGTAAATTAGAGTGGCTGCACCAGGAAGATACACCTGCTTTGAATTTTTTTTTAAATATTACATTCACTGCTTTATAAATATGCTAAAATCTCAGGAAATTATGTCCAGTCAAAATATGTTTTAATTATTTAAAACAAATTTTATATTAATATGGTTTTATGTTGAATCATATTTTCATCGATATTTTCATTCATATTTGAAAGTAATAGCATTTCAATCATAAATGGATTTATGAAAAGACACTTTTAACATAGCATTATAGAAACAATATATGCTTTGTAGTGTAAAATACAAATAAAGAATGTTTGCACTTTGAAAGAAATTAAATTAGGAACATTGTTTTGTGAAGTGCAAAATTAGAGTCTTAATATAAACGATATGCCATAACTCTATCAGTCATTTAGAATATGTTAAATATACACAAATGATTTCATATTTCACACATATTGTTCCATTATTAGTTGCTGTCATTTTTTTTTATCATATCCACACATTCCCTGGCATGTTACATACCTAAAAAGTAAGGTTACAGCTGTTGTTTAAAATAATGGATATTAGTCAAATACTTGCATTTGTATTCCACTTACCCTGAATGTTTTTTCTTGCTGACTGTGCTTGTTGGAAATGTTCACAGAAAACCATGTAGCATTATCCAGTAGTAACTAGGCAGTACTGTCAGCTTTTGACCATACTGTGTTAGCTAGCAAATGCGAAGACCATGGTCTCATTTATAGCAAGCCTGCCTCTTTGTCCGACACGTGTCACTGCTGGTCCCAGTGATGCTTGCATATTTTTCTATCCTCCTGGGAGATCTGGTGCATACAGACCTCTCGTCTGTCCAGTGGCTAGTGCAGGATTTTGGAAAGGGGGACACCTAACTTTCCGTTACCCAGAATGAAAATATACTATGTATATACTGTAGCTACTTAATGAATGCAGCCTGCAGACACAAAAAGGTATTTGTGAACAAGGGGGATCCTGGGCACCAGTAATCCCCACTGTGAATGTCTTATCTTCTATGTAGCATGCAGTGCACAGGTGTAGTGCTAAAATGAACTATTGTATTTCCATTATGACTAATAATGGTATTGTATAATAGCAAAATTCATATGAATAAATATATTATTTGAAAACAGGACCATCTCCACAATTCTCAATCTATAGGTTTTAGTGGCAATAGAATACATTGATCTGTTAGACATTTTATGTAGAATAATGCCTAAAAATTAACCAAAAAGGGCATTTTAGAACCCAAAGTAGAAATAATGTATACATTTAACAATTAGAAAAGACAACATATATTTGTTAGAAAAGAGAAGCTTATTTGTTTAGTGTGTATTATATCTGTGATGGATTTTATTTGTTTTCAATATGTTGTAAACAATAACATATGCTTCTTTTCAAATCTGTATTTTGATACAATGGATATGTTATATACATATGTTACATATAAGAATGATATATATAAATTGACTTTAATTACGTGTGATAATGTATACAGCACACCTAAACGAGAACTGTACTTTTAGAGAAAATTCTGAGTTTTTTGTGCTACCCCTGTTAACTAAAGTAACTGCCTCCCTTTCCCCTAGTCTCTTCAGCTAACCCATAGTGCTCTGTGATCCTGTGTCCCATATTAAATGTCTGTTTGTTAAAACAAACTTTTTCCAGGTTCCAGAAAAGTAGACAGAGAAATGACTGACAATTACACATGACATTGATTAGGATGAATGTAGACTAGCTCAGTAGAAATACAGTCTATACAATCACAGGAGTAAACCAAGACAAAAACAGTTGGGGAAAAGTCAGAGTCAGACAGACCTCTATCCATGGCATGAGAAAAAAGCCCAAGCACTGACTGAACTTCCACCAATCTTCCTACTAGATGCACTAGGCATCGCTGCACTCCTCCCCTACTCACTCCACAATGTAAAATGGCAAAAAACCTTTGCTGGTTTGTTTATATTTTTTTATTTTTAGTCCAGCCCACCCCCCAGCTGCTATTCTCGCCTAGGTGAGAATGAAGTCTCCTGCGCTCTGAAGCCTCCCAGGATATGCATGTCACATATGCTAGGATGTTTCAGGTTCCATACAGCAGTTGCAGGAGGGTGAACCTGGTGGCACATCATCAGGGGCCAGTTGCCTGAACTAGGAAGAGACAGCTGGCTCCTGCTGACATAAGAAACAAAGATGGCGAGGGACAAGGTCTGTTGCAGCAACAGAGTGAATCATAGCAGAACAACAGTGGGCAGTGAGTATGTATATTGTGCATAATACCAGCACTAAAGGTATGAGGCAAACAAAAATACACAACAGGGGTGCAGTTTTAATGATTAAGGTAAGTGTGCATGGCATTGACATGAGCTGTAGTGCTGAGTAATGACCAGCAGATGGTAAAGGCTGATTGTAACATACATCCAATAGTGGACCGTATAACAAATGCAAATATGGGCCCAGAACTGTTTATTTATGTACTTTTATAATCACAAGATGGCACACTTTTCCCTCTGAGGACTATAACTTTACTAATTAAAGCCTGCCAGAATTAAGTTAGTAAGTAGAGTGGTTCTGGAATGCACCAAGCTTACAAACCCTGCCCAGGTTTAGCATTAAGGGGAAAAGACAAATGCTTCCCTTCTCAAGTTTGCATACCTCCAAGATTTTATTTTAGCTATTGGTTTATTAGCTCAATGAGGTCCAGTTAGAATGTAACTATTATAGGGTTGTGCTATTATTTTTTTTAGGCTGGCTTTTTGTTACATGGAGCTGGACAGTCTGTTCATAGCCTCACTAGCATCATATAATAATACATACCCTGCAAAACATTCCTTTCCAGCAAGGATTGCTGTTATGAAATCATAACCAGATTGCATTTGTTGTTGTGATGCTGCATTTGACAAAAAGTACAACATAAGACTGAGTAGCTCTACTGCCAAGGAACGGCAAACTGCCTTGCTTGTCTGTGAAGGTTCTCAGTCATTCAGGTGATGGCATATCTGTAAAAAATAAATCCAGGCAAACTGGACATGGTGTATTTTTCTTGAAGACGTTTCGCTGGTCATCCAACCAGCTTTCTCAATTCAGAATGACTTGTACAAAAATTATCTGTGAATAAATATGGTGAATGTTGCTCCAATCAACATAATCTGTTAATCATAACTAGCATGGGGTCAGGGACCTCATGGATGTAAGGTGTTAAGTGCATTTGCATGATTGGAGCTAGCAGTTGTCATTAAGCTGCCCAGACGAGTGTTAAAACAGCATTATATGTGGCAGACAATCAATGTCTCTACCCCCACCCTCCCCTCTACCACCACCACCTTCCCTGGCTACTTTGTGCTGTCTAGTTTGACAGAAACCATTGGGTACACTTGTAGTACATGATGTAGCCTGCACCTGCAATGCAGCACAGTCTCGCTGAAAACTGCATTTGTGCACCTAGCCATAAACCATCACTATTAAAGGATCAGTCCACACAAAACTAGTATTTCAGCTATGGAAGGATATTGTCGGACTGACTCAGACATCGGCTTGTTATATCCCCCAGTGATTCTATGGGCAAGGTATTGGCTCCTTGCCATAGAGAGCTGAATTCTATTTAATGTAGTGTCATCCACATATCTGAACCAATGACTGGGTGTAATTCCCCTGAAGGTGGTCAGGGCCTTCCTTTCTACTTCCTCCATGTACCGGTTTGCCACAAGGGGTGAAACTGGCAATCCCATGGCACAGTCATGTTTTTGCTAGAACGTATCCTTGCACTTGAAATAGGTGGTACTCAGGCAAAGGTCCAAATAAGACACACCTTTGATCTGGGTTAAGTTCTGTTCTGCTGCCTAGGGTGTTGTCTCAAAAAAACGTTTTCTCACTGTTTCAATTGCCTCTGTGGTAGGTATGCAGGTAAAAAAAGGGATGTAACATCGTAGGGTACCACTGTTTCCTCTGTGCCTAATATTAGGTTCTGGATTTTGGTTGCGACATACTGGGAATTCTGTTTATGATGCTGTGTATTTCCAACCAAGGGGGCTAGGACTCTGGCTAAGTATTTTGCTATGTTATAGGTCACAGAGTTGATGTCACTGACAATTAGCCTGAGAGGACTCCCATCCTTGTGTAACTTAGGAAGTCCATATATACATGGAGGGGCTTCGCCAGGGTTAGAGGCGATGATATATAGCCTGATCAATGTCTTTGTCTTTTTTTTTAGCTGTTGTAGTAGGTCTATGACTTTCTTCTTGTAACCACTAGTTGGGTCTCTTTCGAAGGCTTCATGCATGTTGTTATCATTCAGAAGTGCGGTTCCCTTAGCATCATAGTCAAATGCATTAAGACCAACCATGCATCCTCCTTTAGCAGCAGGCAGGATGGTGATACATGTGTCTTTCTTCCGGGATGTAACCACCCTCCTTTCTTCTGCCTAATAAACCCAAGCAGTCATGAAGAGAAACAAATGGGTTGGGTAGATAGGCAGAATATGTCTTATATCTTGTCACCTGTATGTCTTGTATTTAAAAAATTTATTTTTACCAGGGTTGATGAATCATATGACATTTAGCAGTAGTAGCTGTGGCTTAGTGAAGGTAACTTGCATAATTCGTAAAGGCTTTGAAAGCAGAGAGTATTGCTAACATTTTACAGCTACAGTTAAAGTTAATATAGTTGATAAAAAAACAACACTGTATTGATTCTACAAACACGAATCAGAATTCCTAGCTTCCCACATTACTTTCTTTTGACTTCACGTGCTAGTCTAGCACTCTCTTTAGGCTGCTGTGCATGTGGCTATTTTATATGCCCCCTTAGACATATTCAGTCCATTAAATAGGGTACAAACATTCTTTTCACAGTGTTGTTGTAAATAATATTAAACTATCCCTGTATAACGCGTGGACATCTTGCAAGAAAAAGATCACACTTTTTTACTGGACAAAGACAATTCGCAATTTAACCCATCCACTTTGTTGGTAAATGGAGTTCTCCTATTCGTTAAGCATAATGTATTTCTTTAGACATGGCCTCTTAGCAGGATTTGTTATGCTTTTTTTCGGAGTTCAATGAGTGGGGGAGGCTGCAAGCGAGAGGAGGTGAGGGTGTTGAAGTAGGAATTTACATAATCTGATTAAACGGGGATTATTTAGTGGCCGCTAAACAGGCTCAATGTGCTTGAGCTGCAAACCTTTACTATTCATTGCTCTTATGGCCCTGCGGAGAAACTGCACCTGCAGGAGCACTGCCTGGAACTCTACTGGGATTGCCACTGTGTGGAGCCATGGGAGGAGTTCACAGGCTCCCTGCTCCATGTGTACACAGCGAGTAATTGATCTGTCTGGATTAGTCTCAAGCAGGCCTGAAAATGAAAGCTGGACCAGTTAACGCTATCACTTAAGGTCATCGCGTTCTGAATAAGGCTAACTCGTGCAAGCTTTTAGACAATTACTGTTTAGAGAATATACTATATAAGTATACAAATCTGGATGAATTACCAAACATTTCTCTTTCTTTTCACAAATAAATACATCTCTACCTAATGGTATATGCAGATCATAAAATGTGATGATGTTGAAGTTTGGGTTTAACTTAAAGCAAATCTGTCACACATAAAGCAATGGTAGACCGTAGTGCAGCAAGCTGAAATATTGTAGAAATTGATTGGTTGGAGCTACGTGAGCATCATTGGAAATGTGTTAAATATATACTAATTTGGCAATGGGCTATGCCTCTTACTAGAGATAAAACCTCTCACACATTTTAAACATTCTATAAGCACTTTGGTGCTGTGACTCTTCCACCATGAAATTAAATCACAATGCTTTATTATCTCGGCAATACCTCTCCCACCCATTAACATGTAACAGAATGGGAAGAGGATCTCTAAACCCATAAACCAATGAAAAACTGGTCACAATTATGGATATAATCTCAGAATGTAGCAATAACATTTCTACAAACATTCACTCTGCTTACAATATTTGATGGAGGTAGTTTTTAGAGACTGTCTATACTCTAGAGCAGAGGTTCTCAACCTGTGTAACCTCAGGACCCACATTTGTCCTTGGTCATTAGGTCGTGACCCAAGTTGCAATGGAACGCATGGCATTGCGGTACCGATGCAGGCAATAGAACTGTGGGTGGGAGATGCGTTTGGGGTGCCATTTGAATGAATGGCAATGCAATGCACCTCTCACACCAGAGCATGTGATCAACGCACTGTACTAGTGTGAACTGGCCCTCAAAAACACTGATAGACACACACAAACACAGAGACAATCTCACAAAACTTTCTCACACCCATACGCACTCCAAGAAAAAAATAATTTAAAAAATCCACCCAGTCTCCCTACCTTACGAGAACTGGAGTGGATCCTCAACGTGGGGTCCAGTGTGGGCTGCTGTGCTGTGATGGAGCTCCATCCATACATGCATTGCTTGTATAGCTCCCTTGCGTGCCCTGTAGAGGTGCCGGGAGACAGAATGTGACGTCACTCCGGTCCAGGCACCTCTACAGGGCAGACGAGGGAGCTGTAAGCAATGCATGTATGGATGGAGCTCCCTCGCGGCCATAGCCCCAGCCCATCCCACCTCAAGCTGACAGTCGGCGCCGGGCAGCATATTTTGAATGGCTGCTTGGTTTGAGAACTGACAGTGCTGCGCTAGGGGGAGGCTGAGGAGCCTATTAACCTAGAAAAGTGGAAGGCACATGGGGTCACAATGGGGACCACTGAACATGAGGTCGCGACCCACTTTTGGGTCACGACCCACCAGTTGAGAACCAAGGCTCTAGAGACTGCCTCATATATTTCATGGGCCTGTCCTAGGCTGACCTAGTCCTTGTTTAGAGTGTGTGACTTCCTTTTTATAATATTCAGTCATAATTGAAATACTGCTAGTCTTTCCTACCTCTAGGTTTTTTAGCTAGGGAAGTCTCTGAGATGTTACCTAATTTCACCTCTTCTTGTCTTCCTTCTGTTATCTCATCCTATATTTACTAATCATAGGTGCATGAAGGACCATGAATAGATTTTACTTCACCAGTCCAGTCATATCCTCCCCTTTTTGTTTTCTTTTTCTTTGTTTCACCATTCACACCACCCATTAAACCAGATTTATAGGAGCATATATGTCCCTGTAAAGATAATTGTGCTCATGGAATTGCTGTACTCATGCTCTGGGTATGCATTAAGTTAACTGTGTCCCCTTGTTACACCTATGTTTTAGTAATAGCGTAAATATATATTTCAACATAAAACATTTACAATTAAGCATTGCAGAAATGGCTGATGGCATTGAGTGATCAGCAAAGGAATTAAGAATAGAGTAAAAAGCTCCAATGAACTGGAAGCTCTGAATCCTTGTCTAAACACTATAGGTAATTGTTAGAAATAGTAAAGGTGGCCCTTAATTTAGTAGCATATTGTAAAATGCTCTAGGTTAAAGAACCCTTTAACCTGGATTACTGGATTATTGACTACTCATTCAGTTAATAAATCCAATTGAAGTCATAGAAATAAATATTTAATCAGATAAACATTGTACTGATAGCCTCTATTTCTGCAGTTTCACCTTTTTTCCAGTTATATCTATAGTGCAGGGTGCCTAAATATGACTGTGCAGTCTAATAGGCAGCCGAATTTGACCACTTTGTCCAGTGAATAGATGACACAGCCTTTCTCATTCTCCACAGTACAAGTGTGCATTAGGATGCCCGTGATCAGTGGTGTGGTCATTACTTATTTAGGTGGGCATAGAACACTGGAACAGTAGTAGGAATCACACTGCAGCTAAGAAAAAAAGGCTATTTAAAGGAGAACTATGGGGTTAGGGCTTTTCCCCATAGTTCTCCTAAGGGTAACGGGAGGACACAAACTAGCGTCCTCCCGTCACCCAAAGCTCAGTATACCGCGAGCTACAGCTCGCGGTATACTGAGACGCCGCAGCTGAAACGAATCCCAACAATTATGTCTGGATCCGCCCAGCTGCGTGAGTGACAGCTGGCTCTGCCTATCTAGAGGCAGAGCCAGCTGTACCCGCCCCCTCCCTGTCCGTTCCGCCAGTCATTGCTGCTGGAGGATCGGACAGGGGAGGGGGGAATCCAGTCCCTCCCCTGTCACGGCTCTCTGCAGTGACAGGATTGAGAGGTGAGTGAACCCGGTATGTGTTCGCTCACTTCCCGATCTACTGAGCCGACCTGTGACAGTTTAATTGTCACAGGTCGGCTAGAACTATGAGGATGAGCGAAAATCATTCATCTCATAGTTCTCCTTTAAGGCTTTTCCAAGTGAAAATCTGTTAAACCCCATAACATATGACAGTACAGGACTATAAAGACAAAAAAAAAAGAATAATAACATGGCATGTGTAAAACAAAAAAGCAAATTCACTTTTATTGTAGCTCTTTTAGTTTTTTATTTTAGTTCCCAAGTGCTACAGCAAGGGTTAATACCATGTGCTGAAAACACCATGAAGATTTTGACCGAGGCCCTCATATACAAGCAAGGTCTTCAGTGGTCCGACATTCCCTCATATACAAGCAAGGTCTCCAGTGGTCCGACACACCCCCTGAACACTGTTCCAATCAACAGCACTACTTAGGGAGCTAACATGCTGTAGATTGAATCAGTGTACAGAGGAGGTTCGTTTTGAGGCAGTTACATGTATGTCAAATTTTCTTTGTGTACCTGCAGTGCTATTGACTACAATGGTACAGATCTGATCATGCAGTTAGGGGGTGTTAAATTTATGTAAAATTTTCTTTGAGTAGCTCCAGTGCCATATAATACATGCACATATCATGCATTTTATATGGGTAGTTATGGGTCGTAGATGTTTTAGTAGTCTTTCAAAGTAAAAAGTGCAGGTTTGAGGAATTTTATACAGCTGAACCTTACTGCTTATTTTATCTGCTGCCTACATGAAATATTGCACAGGGAGGGAAAAGATGGGAGAACATTTGTAATCTGAATATATGCAATCCTGTATACTAAGGTCTTCTACGGTTTTCATTCTGAACATGAGTATTACAAAACAATTTGGAGATGTGCAAATCAAAAATCCTTCTTTAGAATCATTACTTCTCTCCTCTCCTAATGATTTAGCAAAAACATAGAATACATTACTATTTTACTGTGGAACCATTAGTATATCCCTGCACTGTGCCTACTCTAAAATACAATTATTTTTATACAAATGCATGACTTTTGCAATTATTTCAAGCCAGTTATCTGATTCTACCAGTCGACCATTTATTTTATCCAGCATAGAAGTTAAAAAAAAAAAAGCTTTTCTCTAACAGCAGTTATTTCTCTCACTATAAATCTCACCCAATGACAAGTCAGCGCAGTACGTTGCCAGTGGCATGGGGAACACAATTCCTAGGAATTATCGTCAAGCCAAAGCAAATGTTTGTCCTTTCAGATTTACAAATGGTTGTAATGGCTTTTCAATAACAGCCTTGGCGGTAAGTTTTGTTATGGTTTTATGCGTATATGTGTACTCAGAGAACAGCGCATTTATGGTTAGCGCTTTCATACATATTCTTTTTTTGTGCAAAACCCACTTTATAGGCCCTGTTCCCTTTTAGCACATATTAACTATAATTTGGGAGCCATTCTTCCTGCTTGCTGTATTCAGGTCACCATTTGTTTGAAGGGAGCAGACGGCAAGGTCTGGAAAGCACAGCCTATATGTAGCTTTTGATTCCACTTTTTTGCTGGGAAAAAAAAAAATCACTAAAGCAAACTGTTCACTGGAGATAAGGATTTGTAGCAGTCTGCATGACACTGATAAGACTGGCTCCCTTCACTGGAAGATTATTTGTTAAGAACCTGTGTTAAATAAAATACAGTCAAAAGGCTTAACACTATCACTCATTTTCATCCCTGCGCCCTCTCGGCCTTACTGAATTTTCTCATGAATAATGCTATGCTGATCTCAGCATGCATGTTTGATGAATAATAGCTATGCTGCCGATTTGCACTCACAGAAGAATTTGGTTTGGGCACGATGGTAATGTAGTTTAATACATTCTTCTGTCACTTTTCTTAGCAGCTTCCAGCAGAACACTTTAATGTTTCTGAAAATATACCATCAGTGCCAGCATTTGTTATGAATGCATTTAATTAACACAGTTATATAGGGGTAATTATGGAAGGAGAACAATAACATGATTTACTAACCAACAAATATGTGGATAAGCAGTCAGTTTGCCCATCCATGAATTTGAAATGCTACTTTCCCTTTTTTTGTGCATTACATTATTATATGTAGCTGACAAGTAAAATGTATTTTATAAGGGTGTAAATACTATTTTGTAAAGTCTGCGAATATTAATTTAAAAAAAATGGCTCTATTTGGTATACCAAGATTCTCCTTAGGGCTTAGTTTTTTTTAATAAAAAGATTTAAACTTGAAAAACTTTAAGTAGAACTGAAGCCAACACTTTAGTTTTGGATAAAGTAAGGGAGCATTATAACCCCTGTCAGCTGTATCCTATTGGTGAGATTTTCACTTCCTGTCCGATAGCCACAACAGGAAATGACAGGAAAACCCTCCAAAGTGAGGGAAATCCCTGGTGGTCAGCAGGGTCACCAGAACTAGTATTCACATTGGAATATCTCCCATCTATTCCTGTTCTGGTAACAACCCAAAATTTTGGATTTTCTTTCACATTCAGTGATAATGGTCACCAGGACAAATGGAGATGGTAAATCTCGCTAACGGACACGGACAACAATTAAAATCTCTCTCCACTCTGTGCAAAGCTAACCAAAAAAGTTTTGGCTTCAGTTTCACTTTAAGAGTTGGTAGATCAGGAGGAGGTGAGTGGCTATGGAAATAGATATTTTCCATGTAGTCCAAATCTTCTGATCTCTAGCTACCTGTGCGATCCACTTCTTCTATTAGCAGCAAGCATCTGTATTCTTCCCATATTAGCTGTTAACCCCATATGATCCTGTGGTAAATTCTACAATACTTGGAGACAGGGCCATCGCTATAATGAGGCAGCCTGAAGCTGTTGCATTATTTAGCCATTTTCAAGCTTGAGTGTTTTTGGTTTAGCTAACGCAAAGCTAGTTACTAGGAGTAGGAGACATATACTAGGAGTAGGAGACAGATACTAGGAACAAAATCTAGCAGGAGTTTTTCAGGTGTTCCCATGAGCCTTCTAGGGCATTTTGCAATAAGGCATCAAGCTACAAGCAACACCATGCTTAGATGTGAAAGGGCACAATTGAAAACAACAGGATTCTTCTGGTTGAGCAGTCTCATGTAGAGAAATGCACAACAAAATGCTCAAGTATGACTGAGGCCTTACCTACTACACTCTGATAAAAACTCACACCTCTATTCCACTACATGTATGCTTCCTGTGTGGGAGGCTCCACCTCTTATCATTACATCAGCACCAATCATGTATTAAAGAGACCCTGTAGCCAGACCATTCGTTCAACAAAAAGCCTCCTACAAGATTACATGTGCATTTAATATATTTTATGCATATTATTTACCTGTAAAAACCTCCCTTGTCCACACCAGCCTTTACCAATCAGAGTGCTTCAAAATTTGCACCAGCACCATGGAAACAAATGATGCTAATCCAGGTTGGGTGGCATCCAATAAGAAAAAGATGGTGGTTCTCCTTCATCAAGGCCTGCACCTCCTTCCACCCTCTGCCATGCTGCCACAGCTGCAACTCCCGATATAAAATGGAGTTGTAACGTGAAGGGGGGCTGCCGGTGTGAAATGAGGGCTCCTGATGTGAAGAGAGCTTCTGATGTGAAGAAGGCTCTGATGTGAAGAGGGCTCTGATGTGAAGAGGCCTCTGATGTGAAAGGGTAATTCTGATGTGAAAGAAAGGCTCCTGATTTGAAGGGGGACTCTGACGTCTGCTTTGTTTTTGCTTGTGGTTTTCCCCCTAAAATCTATACAAGACCCCTATCTGGGGCATTTTTACATTTATGTTTGTTTCCATTTTCAACCGTGGTGCCCCAAGATTCTGAATAGTGTTAAAAGTGATGTGACTGAAAGAAATGCTCGTCTAGACTACAGTAACCACCCATGCAAGATGGAATCTCGTCATTGACTAACCATGTAAAGAATACTACAATTTTCACTGTCCGCGTCTCTTTTCCCTTCATTATTATTCATTTCATTTTATGATTATGTTTGACAATAATTGTGTTCTATAAAGTTTTAAAAAAATAACTTGCTCCTGAAGATAATTGTGTAAAGTAGGCCACATTCCTAATTCTTTAATTTCTTATATCTACAACTTACTGATCATGATAATGTACTGTGGGCATTTTTTAACAGCGGTTCCCTGGGATTTGAAAATTTGTTAAAGGCTTCTTCTGGGGTAAAAAAAGGAAGAGCTGCCCTAGATGGTCTAGAAATTGCTAAATAAAAGACAATTGTGAACATAAGGCAAAGTATATGCATATGAATTTACATTGCACTTTAAACCTTTGCGTAAAACCTAAAAATAGAGATCCACAAAATACAGTATTTATAAATGTATTCATTTCTCTTTAAATACACACCAACATATTTATTGAGATTTGTTTAGAAAATATTAATAAAGGTGGTTTACAGCATAATATTACAAACAGTTTGATGTATAATAACACAGTGATAGGCAAAGTACTGTTTATTCTGTTTCCAGGTATTATGAAAGGCTATATTTTTCTCTTTTTAAGTGTCCGCTTAGGCTAAAAGTTAACAGTTGCTGAGCATTAAGTGGATACTAGTAAAACAACACCTGCTACATCTCCCTCTCTATGGACCAGACATTTAAGGATTTATTGGCATGACTTCTAGCTAGAAGGTCAATGTATTGTCCTAGCGTTACAGGCTGACATCATATTTCACACTTTTAATGAAAGTACAACAAAATGTGAAAAAGGATGATAACCTTCATAAAGATGTTCATGTTGTTCTGGTGATTCAGTTAACAAATAGAATTGACATTCTTCCTGACATAATAGTTGTGTAAGTAAAAAAAAACAACACACCACGCTTACCTTTACTTATATAACCGCCATGGTCCTGTGTAAAAGTTAAAAAAGTAGGAACCCACAGAATGTTAGAGATGTCAGTTGGTGGGGGGAACACAGATAATCGTGGCTGATATCAATGGTGGGGGGAGCACAGAAAGATCATGGCTGATATCAATGGTGGGGGGAGCACCGACAGATCGTGGCTGATGTCAGGGTTGGGGGAGCACAGGTAAATCATGGCTGATGTCAATGGTGGGGGGAGCACAGACAGATCATGGCTCATATCAATGGTGGGGGAGCACCGACAGATCGTGGCTGATGTCAGGGTTGGGGGAGCACAGGTAAATCATGGCTGATGTCAATGGTGGGGGAGAGCACAGATAGATTATGGCTGATGTCAATGGTGGGGGGGAGCACAGAAAGATTATGGCTGATGTCAATGGTGGGGGAGCACAGATAAATCATGGCTGATGTCAGTGGTGAGGGAGCACAGATAAATCATGGCTAATGTCAGTGGTGGGGGAGCACAGATAAATCATGGCTAATGTCAGTGGTGGGGGGAGCACAGACAGATCATGGCTCATATCAATGGTGTGGGAGCACAATTAAATCATGGCTAATGTCAGTGGTGGGGGAGCACAGATAAATCATGGCTAATGTCAATGGTGGGGGGAGCACAGACAGATCATGGCTGATGTCAATGGTGAGGGAGAGCACAGAAAGATTATGGCTGATGTCAATGGTGGGGGAGCACAAACAGATCATGGCTGATGTCAGTGGTGAGGGAGCACAGATAAATCATGGCTAATGTCAGTGGTGGGGGAGCACAGATAAATCATGGCTAATGTCAGTGGTGGGGGAGCACAGATAAATCATGGCTAATGTCAGTGGTGGGGGAGCACAGATAAATCATGGCTAATGTCAGTGGTGGGGGAGCACAGATAAATCATGGCTAATGTCAGTGGTGGGGGAGCACAGATAAATCATGGCTAATGTCAGTGGTGGGGGAGCACAGATAAATCATGGCTAATGTCAGTGGTGGGGGAGCACAGATAAATCATGGCTAATGTCAATGGTGGGGGGAGCACCGACAGATCGTTGCTGATGTAAGTGGATGGGGAGCACAGATAAATCATGGCCGATGTCAGTGGTGGGGGAGCACAGAAAGATTATGGCCGATGTCAATGGTGGCGGGGAGCACCGACAAATCATGGCTGATGTCAATAGTAGGGGAAGCGCAGATAAATTATGGCTGATGTCAATGGTGGGGGGAGCACAGACAGATCATGGCTGATGTCAATGGGGGGGGGAGCACTGACAGATCATGACTGATGTTAGTGGTGGGGGAGCACAGATAAATCATGGCTGATGTCAATGGTGGGGGAGAGCACAGAAAGATTATGGCTGATGTC